ACGAGTTTCACGCAGGAAAAGCGGCGTGAAAGCAATGGTTGTGCGGGCAAACGCTCTGCTCTGCGTCTCTGACACCAGAGGGCAGAGTGAATAGAGACCGCGCTAAAGCGCAGAGATGGTTTGTTGCCCAGCGAGATATTAAGGTGGTCCTGGGACGAATAGTGCACTCTGCATCGTCTCGACACTCGTCTGACGTGTCATCGGTTGAGGAGCGGGGATCCCGGGTGATCCGGGAAGAGCGCTCTCACTATGCATGGCTGTTTAATCTTGGGCCCGCCAACGTCCTTCCTGCCAACCATTGGGGACACTGCATATCCCTAGGAGGAAAACTCAGAAACCGTTAACTGTGCCTCTAACGGATCTGGTGACTCTACGTCGATGGGTCTTATCAACACCAACTCCCCTCTCAGACCGGATGAGCCCATGTCGACTACATATAAGAACAGTCTCAATATTAAAAGAACCCTTCACGATAAAACGTTTCTTGAGATCGTCTACTTGGACGAATCTCCGGCCCCAAAGATGTCAAATGAGGCGTTGTTAGGTCAGAAAGCGACCTAGATAGGGCCTAAGAAGGGTTCAAAGACCGGCTCTATTCACGTCCATCTCTGGAAGTGACCATGCTTCAATGGCTCTTTATAAGGTACACATTCAAAACGAAGCACTAATTTTGAACAGCTGATTGTCCGGGACGTTCAGTGGTGGGGAACATTTTTGGTAGATACATACTGTAGCCAGCTCTGTATGCAAGTGAACGTGACTGAAATCTTGTCCGAACACCTTTATCGTTTTACTCATGTCTTACAATCTCCTATATAACGGCTCAAAGGGACCCTATATTTATGAAATTTTGCGAATTTCTTTTTTTTTGTCACCATCAATGCACTATTCCATAAATCTCACCGTAATACATTTAGCTCAAAAGGTTATCTCAGGAATGTCGTGAACTGGGCTGACAATTAAAGGCAATAGTTGCTGTCGCGATTCCCGGTAACTGCTCTACTAGAACCGCTGTCCGCCCGAGTCCTCCGGGATATCCAACAAATGAAAAGTGGTTCCGCCCACAATAAGATACAAAAGTGCTTTCAACGGATGGATAGTCCGAGAACTTTGCTGAAATCTCTGTCCATCAAGAGAGCAGCTGCTTTAAGATTGTTATTCGATAATCACTAAATGATATCAAGATCACTGACTACTACTATTCGTACTTCTTTCAGGTAGCGATTCAGCTGAGTTCCGCTCCAGAGCTGCGTAATGTTCAACTCGGTCTCAATGTGAAGTATGATGCCAGGGAAAGGCTCCAGGTGCTTAACCTGTTCGATTCTTCCTACTAGCCTGCTTTTTTGCTTTCATTCGTCTCTCTAAGAAGGTCTTTCACTCTACAACAACTTTGAACCTGAAAATAGAGCAGAGGCAGAGTATGTGCGGTGCATCTTCGCTTTCGGAAACGGCTCCTAATATCTATTGCTCAATTTATGTGTTGCTCCCCAACGATTTTTGTCACGATCACTGGTTGGACCTTTGCTGTTTGTACTTAGGTACACAATGTTGACTACTCAAGTATTGCTGCTGTTCATCTTCGTCCCGGTGATATCATACGGTAAGCAAAGTGACTCCAATAGAACTTTGCTGGCTAGAGATTCTTTGTGCTTCCTGTTGACGGGGATGAAAAAAGGTCTCTGGAAGAAGGAGTGAACAAAACCTTTCAGCGAGGTGGACGACAAACCTGTAGCCAGCAAAACTATGCTAAAGTATTACGTCTCCGAAAGCATCTCAAAGAATCGTCGGGTACGTCTGTTTTCTCCTTCGCTCTCCAGTCCGACCTAGTCTTTGACGGTAGGGAAAGAAGCAATGAGGGTCGTTCAGGAAGCCCACAGAACAGCTAGTAAAGGGCAATCGCCAAAATAGTGCGATTCTAGCTTTTTTGCAATTTCTCATCCTTTCATTGTTTAGTGATGTTGATGGTGATGATGTTTAAGCAGATGTAGTCATTTAGCGGGACAGACGATTCCTGAATAAACTCGAAGCGTAATGAAGGGTCCATTCTCCATGTGGTCGTTGTTTGTGTCGGTGTAAGTGTCGGTGATCTCAATTGACAAGAAGTCCTTCGAAGGAGAACAACCTTCTGTAAAGAATGCCGATGGGGCGTAAAACTTATCAGCAGTAGAGTGGATTTGCTTTTGAGGAATCCACACCGGCTACAAACAGATGAAACTAGGCAGTTAAGCATCTGAGCATATGAGTAAATACATGTATTCTTCTCCATTTTTGACCGGTTTAGCCGAACGAAGGACTTTCAGGACATTTTCACACAGGAAACTTTGCATGACATTTTTTTGGAAAAAAAATGAAGGGTTTTGAAGTGAAGAGCTATTTCTGATCAAGACTTGAGCTGCGAATTGTGATTCAGATATGTTTTCTTATTGAGTGTCCAGCTGGAGAGGCTTATCGTGAGTGCTACGACATGGNCTTTTGAGGAATCCACACCGGCTACAAACAGATGAAACTAGGCAGTTAAGCATCTGAGCATATGAGCAAATACATGTAGTCTCCACCATTTTTGACCGGTTTAGCCAAACGAAAGACTTTTAAGACATTTCCACACAGGAAACTTTGCATGGAAGGGCTCAAAATGACATTTGTTTGAAAAAAATGAAGAGTTTTGAAATGAAGGGCTATTTCTAATCAAGGCTTGAGCTCGAATTGTGATTCAGATATGTTTTCTTATTGAGTGTCCAGCTGGAGAGGCTTATCGTGAGTGCTACGACATGGCGCCCGATGTCACAGAGATCGCTTTAAAGCAGGTAAATTGAATGAAACAAGTCACCCTCTCCAAGTTCCCTGCAGCATTCCATCATAAGCGGTTTCCACAATCAGACGAGCGGTACGGATCCCATTCTACGGGGATTAGGTTAACCAACATTGTTCCGCCTCTCGCTGATACAGCCGCAAAAGGTTAGGAAGCAAAAGAGTTTGAGGCGCAGTCTGCAATCACTAGTCTTGTTTCATACAAATAGTGGAAGCGATAGGCCAGTATAGTGCAAAAGCAACCCAGAAAACGCACAAAACGGAGAAACAAAGGCTTTGAAAGTATAATATTAAAATTAGAGGGGGATGACGATGTGTGACAAAAGTTGCATGGAAGGGGTGTCGGACGAGATGTTCAAAATTGTGTGCCACTGGCTACAGTAGGCACAAATGGCTACAGTATGTTACCTGCATGCAAAGTGTGCGTCCCAGTGCAAATGGTGCTACCTCTACAGCCTCTAAAACGTCGTGAGAATTCGTCCGCCTTCACGTATTTACGTCGGCTAAGCCGGTTTACGGCCCTTATTACGCCCTATCTGGACCGTTTTTCAACCCAACAGCATCCTTTGCGCTATACTTGGGGGTCACAGGCTTAACTAAGAGAAAATTATGCATTGTTTGTGAACTGCCTTCGTCCATATTGCTTTTACATAGCAATGTACGGATTTCCAGTTTGGAAGAATTGTAAGGTATCCAGAGTTCTGGTCTCTTCCTGCTGTCCTGAATCCCATAATTTCAGATTGAACGCTTCAAGAAAACAGTCAATCAAATGCCTGCCGTCAGCGCTTATTCAAGCGCACACTCGAAGAAAAGTGTTAGTATTGCGCCACAGGAGAGAACAGAGGTGGTAACTGATCTTCAGCTAGTTTTTTGGGAACTCCCGCCTCTTCAAAGATCAATGCCCTAGTGGGTTAGTCTGGCAGTAAAGACTTTTATGGTTGACCTCTACGATATTGGAGTGAGCATTCGACTTCTATACAGAAATGTGGCCTCACATCCAGTGAGATGAGCAACACATGGCCCATGGATTCCTCTATGACAGATGAATGCTCAGAACTGTACCAAAGCGATTCGTAGAATTCGAAAGCTTCACAACGCTATCATCACTTACCGGGGTAGAGGTAGAAGTCGTTCAGTATCACCAGTTTGGCTATGCACGCTAACGCGTGCAGTATATGTCGACGGCCACTTACCCACGATGGAGTCATTCAGCTGAATTTTGGATAATCAGAATAAGATAGTTCTCTCCAGATTCGATCGCATTTGAGCAGGGTTATTAGTGGTTGATCATAGCTCCGTCCACCTTAGTGCAAACCCTTCCCACGATAAAGTTGACCACCCTTCTTTTGACTTCTCCTAACCATTTTTTCCGCATTTTAGGAAGTTTTCGAAGGGATGCATTTTTGTCCTGGCCCCGCTTTCCTGCGTCAGCTCCGCCCGTTTCGGGATTTGATCACATTTGTTCCTTTACCTCTTAACACTTTTCCCCGCGTCCTAGAACGTTTCTGAACAAACTCATGAAATTTTAATCCAAGCTCCGCCCACTTTGGTGCCAACCTCGCCCACTTCGAGAATTTGGCCACAACTGTTCCATTACCTCTTAACACTTTTTTTCCGCTTTCTAGAACGTTTCCGAACGAAGTTACACCTATTTTTGAAAAGTAGCTTTTAGCTTAACGCACGCTTCTCCCACCGTGGGCGGGGCTCCGCTAAGCTCACGCATGCCCAGCACACATAAGGCCTTGCTCACTCTTTTCGCTTTTTTCTCTGGCCTCGACGGCTTCGTTGAATCGAGTTATGAATCTGTGGAAAGTACCGCCCACTGCGAGAACGCTCCGCCCACCGCCGGTAAGCTTCCTTATTTTAGTTGTTGACCCATCCCCCACCTTTGCACATTTTTTCCCGGCGTCTGAACTGTCATGAGACCGAATTGGAAGAATTAGCTCATGACCCAGCCCAATCCCATCGCATGCCCCGCTTCTTGGGGGCGGAGCTCCGCCAGGCTCACATAGCTCTGTTGCACTTACCTATGCTCAACCTATTCCAAACTTCACCCGAATTCTCCAGGTGTTTCCTCAGGTTATATCGAATTTCCGTACAAACAGAAAGACAGACAGAGCGCTTTATATATACTGAGGATATTCTGCAATCAAGTGACGTGAGAGCGGGGGTGAAACCGGGTAAGAGGAGATTTCAAGCGGGTACGAGCCAGATCAATGATGCCACTTCCTGTCATTTGGACAACTCTTTCCTAACATAACCACCTGAGTAACTGGTTACTTCAGTATCTAACTGAAGTGGTGATACTTCTTCGATGGGCTTATTTTCTAATTCCTCGATTTTCATTTCAGGTGGAAATAGCAGCGGACTTCGATCCTACGAAGCTACGCCCGTGCAAAAACGCTAAATAGATTTTTGGTTAACGAATTACAAGTTTTCAATAAAGTATGTTTCTTTTGTGAAGCACCGACTCGATGTGCCCGCTTGCTTGCAGATTTATCAGTTTGATGTATGCTGCTCTCAGATGATTTGACAAAGACAAAGCTACGCACCCACCGCAAACTATTAGGATGGAAAATAAGTCTTGCAACACTGAAGATGTCCTCCGGAAAAAAACTAAAGCTCTTTTAAAATATTTTCGCGCTTGATTGTAGAGCGTTCATGTAGGAATTCTAAAATGGACAATAAAGGGGCTCGTGATAATGTTCCTCATGAACTGCGCCTATCTGACAAGACCAACGGGATGCACGTGGCCGGGTCTCTTCTGCTCGTCCCCATCAAGGACTTACGGGACATAGTGACCAAAAATGACAGCTGGGTGCTCTACGTCAACCATACATGTGAGCTCCACTGGGCGCTAGAAGAACAGCCACCTACGGAGACTATCGCAGACCTCTATGAGAAGAAGTTTTTATTGTGTTGCTAGTGGGACGGCAGAGGAATGACCTGATGGAGGCTGCTAGACAGTGGCTCTACAGTGACGGCCGCAGTCTACGCTAACCAATAAATAGTAACATTATGGAGTAGGCTCAGAATATACAAGGTACGTTGGTGACTGTGATTCTAGCTCTTATAAACGAATAGTCTTGGGGCGTTAATCAATCCCGTCTGAGGGATGCGTCTATGAATTCGACTTCACTCAGAATCGTAGGTGTCGTGCTGAATGTGTATGCCTCAAACACAATGAGTTGCGGTGGCCAGCCGACGTACAAGTCAGTGCTTTTATCCCACCAGACGAATCCGGTACCAACTAACCGGCCCTGGGAGAACGAACGACTTGGTATTTGATTCAAACTTACTATGGACGTTTTGGCAAACAATTAGGTCAATCTCTTGAAGGCAGAGCCATACGCAAGCCTTTGATTGATTTTATTGAGTAGAGCTCTATTAAACCGTTTTGCAATACATACAATTCGATCATTATGGGTACGTAATTGGTTACTGACCATGAGATTCGTTTTAGGCAGCCAAAATAGAAAATCATAAACAATTCAATACGTATGTACAACACGAAGAAGCCTACTAAGCTGCTAGGCCAATTTTTAAAAATTAAGAAATATAATCTCAAAAAATGTAAGGCGAAAGCGTACAACGATCATAACAATGTTCTGAAAATAACATAAAAAGGTAGCAAATCGAAAAGCTGCTATTCAGGCATAGTCGAAGAGGTGTTGCGTTTAAATCATGGAAAACAACATTTTCAAACCCCTGTACTGACTAGTTATCGTTTGTTATTATGGATTCTTCAGAGCTATGAGAGCTGTTTCAAGGGCTCAAGAATGATTAGAGTCTACAGGTCTTTTCTTACCAGTTGGTCACAGTCGATAAAAAGGCAAATTACAGCAGAAAAAGGAACACGCCCATGACATCGATTNAAAAAAACCTTCAGTTCCTGTTCTCTCCGTGAGAACGCTTCACGCCCAACTACCTCCACCGCCCTCATCCTTGACAGGTTTGGATGGATATAGTCCACCTCCACCTTGACCACCGTTGTCATCGTAGATCGGACCAGGCGCTACTGGATATGCTCCTCCGCCTGTAATTAAGTTTAGCTCCTACATGATATCAGCGACTGGAGGGTTGAAGATTATCAAAACTAATCAACCCTTATCAGAAGGTTATGTGTTTTATTAGATGTTCATACCAGCCAAGCTCCTTTTTCCTTCCTATTTCAAGATTTTTGTATTCTCGTCTTTCTCTCGTCGTATTTCCATTCAATTCCCAGCCTTTCACCGTTTGCATTTACATGACTTCACATACATATTATGCCCAGCTGTTCCCCCATCGAACCCGGACAAAATATTCTACATGTAAAATCTCCGGCCTATCTTACTACCCTCCTCAGTTGACCTTGACCTTGACCAGTTCAAAATTCCTGTCAGACATTCATGGCTCAACCTTCTGCTGTTATGACCTGAGACCTACCTCGCAT